GCTCGCCCGCGACGAGGAGCTCGTCCATGTCCGCCTCGGCGAGCACGTAGTAGCGGCCCGCGGCCGCGCCACCCTGCTTGAGGCGGCAGATGCGGTGCGAGCCGTCGAGCATGCGGTAGCGGAGGCCGCAGGGGTTCCGGCCCGTCTCGACGACGACGCCGGGCAGCTCCGCGGGGCCCCGCGCGTTGCGCCGCGCGTCGGCGGCCTTGCGCCCGCAGATCGCACCGAGCGACTCGTTGCCGGCCTTGGACATGTCCTTGTGGCACACGTCCTCGAGGGGCAGCGTCACGGGCGCGAGGTCGCGCTCCAGGACGAGCCGGAACATGTCCTCGGTGTAGATGGCGCCGTCGCTCCCGGGACCCTGGAGGCTCCAGAGCCCGGACGCGCGGTGCCAGGCGTACTGGATCTTCGAGACCTCCGTTATCGCGCGAGCGACGGCGAGCAGCGCGAGGATGGCACCATGCTTCATCTTACGTATGCTAGATACGTATGCTTGGGGCTGCGTGCACGGCACCTTCCAATGATGCAGGAAGATTGCAGGAGTTGCATAGCATGGCTACGATCCTGGTCGGGCGCTAACGCTGCGTTTCATCGATCGCTGAGGCTCGACGCCCACCATGGGCGCCGCGGCGTCGACGAACGCCAACGCCTTCCTCGCGAGCGCGGCGCCGGAGGACGGGGCGCTCGCCGCCATCCAGGCCATGGGGGCCATGGAGGACGAGCTGCTCGCGACGCACTACCCCGTGGAGACCGTCGAGGGCGCGGCGTTCGCGGACTGGGTGCCGCCGGCGCAGGCCTACATGCGGCGCCTCGCCGGCTCCGTCGCGTCGCAGCTCGACGGCTGGAGCAGCCAGAGCGAGCGGTTCTTCGCGCACCTCGCGCCGTTCTTCCGGTTCCGCGAGGAGGTCGAGAAGAAGTGGGCGGCCCTGAGCAGCGGCAAGGTCGAGGCCGTGCCCGCCGTGTCGCCCGCCGCGCCGCCGACGCAGGCCGGCGTCGCCGTGCTCGGCGACCTCTACGACCGCGCGCGCGCGCGCGAGGCGCAGTTCGGCGAGCTGCTCAGGCGCTGCGGCAAGGTGGCCCTGCTCGAGGAGAGCGCCGTGCTCCTGCCGCCGCTCAAGTCCGAGCTCCGGGCCGCGGAGAAGATGAACGACGACTACGCGCGGCGGCCGCCGCCGCGGTGCCAGTACCTCTGCGACATCCTCCGGGGCACGCTCGTCTGCGACGGCGAGGGCGAGATCGTCGCGTGCTTGACGTACCTCGCCGCCCACGCGACGGTCAGTGTCCTGCGGCCGAGACGGTTTACGAGAGCTTTCGACCGGGGAAACGATGAAACATCGTCACCGACGCATCCGGTAGGCGACGGTGCTGCGCCTGAAGAACCGCTTCGCGACGCCCCACTTCTCCGGCATGCGCGACTGCCTGCTGAACCTCGTCGTCGACGGCTTCGTCTGCGAGGTGCAGATCCGCCAGCGGGCCATCCACGCCTTCGCCAAGGAGGCCCAGTCCCACGAGCACTACGAGTTCTTCCGGAGCTACTTCAACGGCTGCGAGGCCGACTCGCTGACGCGGTGCTTCTCGCTCCTGTCGAACATCCACGAGGGACAGGGGGACGGCGGGGGCGGGGGCCTGCTCGCGAACGTCGAGGCGGAGCTCGCGTCCGCGGGGCCCGGCGACGCGTTCCGCCTCGAGAACCTCGCGGACTTTTTGGAGAGCATCGTCTGCGAGGGCCGCCTCGCCTTCAAGGTCTGGCACAAGGTGCTCGAGCTGCTGAGCGCGGCGCTCGTCGGCGGCGGCCTCGACGCGGAGGGCGCGCGGAGCGCTGTCGCGCGCATGGGCCGGGGCATGCTCCACATCTCGCGGCTCTGCAAGAAGGGCGGCCTCGACGAGCCCGCCGTCGCGACGGCGCTCCTGAGCCTGCGCTTCGCGGGCTCCGTCCTCGCGCTCGACGACGGCCTCATGTGCTCCGCGCGGTGCTCCCTGGCGGCGTCGTTGGCGTCGCTGGGCAACGTCGCCGCGGCCGTGACGCTCTTGGACGGGGCCATGGCGCTGGCGAAGCTGCGGACCGTGTCGAAGCTCGTCGAGGCCCAGGTGTGCCTCTGCTTCGCGGGCGTCGCGACGACGCATCGGGATTCCGCGAGCTTCCGCGGCGATCGCGAGGCCAACCGGACGCGGGGCCTCGAGGCCGCGCGGCGGGCGCTGCACCTCCTCGAGGACGGCGCGGGGTCCGCCCACGACAAGGACGCGAACGTCGCCGAGGGCGCGTCGACGCTCGCGAAGATTCTCGAGACGGAGGCCGCGGAGGAGGCCGAGGCGCTCCACCGAAGGGCGCTCGCGACGCGGGAGCGGGCGCTGGGCACGGCGCACCACGCCGTCTCCGTGGACCTGAACAACCTCGCGAACTTCCTCGCGGGCCGCGACGACTGCCTCGGCGAGGCCGTCGCGCTCGCGCGGCGCGCGCGCGACATCGACGTCGCGAATCTGGGCGGGGACCCGCGCCGAACTCAAATCTTCAACTCGACTTCAATGTGAGCGTACGCGAAAGTTTCGACGCAATCTTTTCGGCTTTGCTTCGAGGACTCGACGAGAGCAATCGATTCGTCCAAAAATCAGCCGAATCGACTTCGATGTGACCGAGCTAGAGAGTTCTGAAGTTTGGTCGGGACCCCCCAAACCAGTGGTTGAATTCGGCACAGGCAAGGACGACACGGTCCTCGCCAAGACCTGGAGCTTCCTCGGCGGCCTGCTCGTGCGCGGCGGCCACCTCGAGGAGGCGGAGGAGGCCTACGACGCGGCCGTCGCCGTCAACGAGGCCGCGGTGCGGCTCGCGCGCGCGGGCGCGCCGCTGGACCTCGCGCGGGACCTGACGAACCGCGCGGTGCTCCTGGCGAAGCGGCCCGCGGCGGGCCAGGACGCCGAGGCGTTGTTGCGGCGCGCGCTCCAGCTGCTCACGTACAAGACGGACGCGCCCGCGCCGCTCGCTCGCGTCTCGGACCCCGTGCTCGCGGCGCAGGCGCGCGCGGCGCGGAGCCCGGCCGTGCGCCGCGCGACGGCGGACGCGCTCGCGGCGCTCGGCGGCGCGCTCATGCGGCGCGGCGCCCACGCGGACGCCGAGGCGTATTTACGGGACGCCGTCGCGAGGACGGCCGACGCGCCCACGGGCGCGCACTACGGCAACCTCGCGTGCTGCCTCCTGGAGCTCGAGAAGCCCGACGCCGTCGACTACGCCCAGAAGCAGCTCGAGCTCGACGTCGTCGCCTACGGCGAAAACCACGCGCTCGTGGCCGCGGACGAGGACGCGCTGGCGACGGCGCTGGACCTCTTCGACCGCGTCGACGAGGCGAACGCGCACGGGAAGAAGGCCCTCGACCTGGCGACGGCGCTCCTCGGCGCGGACCACGCGACGACGCGCGCCTACGCCGAGAGCTGGGGGGCCGAGGAGGGGGGGTAAGGCGGTCGGTGAGGCGGTCCGACGGGCCGACGCGTCGCGACGGCTCGGGCCGCCATAGGCCTCGCCGTCGGCGCCCGGCGGCGGCGGCCGCCGCGGCCGGGGCTCGGCAGTCGCGAGCTCGCTGCGCACGGCGCTCTCCGAGTCGAGCCCGACCCTCGTGCCGCAGATCATGGCGCCGGGCCTCGCGAAAGTGGCGCCCGACCTCCCGAAAGATGGCCTGCGCGCCGTGCTCGGCTTCCTCGGGGACGACTGGGACTGGAAGACGGTCGGGCGCGCCAGCCTCGTGTCCAAGACCTGGAAGACGACGATCGCCGCCATGGAGTCCTCCATCTGGCAGGCGGCGCTCCGCGCGCGCTGGCACGGCTACCGCGCGTCGCGCGTCGCGGGCCCCCACGTGGTCGACGCGGAGGCGCTCGCGACGTGCAAGTCGATCGCGGGCCTGGTCGTCGCGCCGCGCCGCGTCCATGACGACAGTGTCACGGACCCCGGGGGCACCATCGACGCGCGCGATGATACTCGCGTCGTCGCCATCGGTGGGCTGCTCAAGCGCAACGTCGACGTTCCGACGCTCGCGAGCATCCTCGTCGGGGTCCGCAAGCGCAAGATCGCCCGCATGAACGCGCACTGGGCGCGCCTGCGGGCGTCCGGCCGGTCGAGCGCCCGCATCCAAGGCGAGTACGTGATTGACGAGCGCTTCGACGGCCCGCGCCTCGAAGCTGAAGCCGCGCTCAAGTTCATCGAGGGCCTCATTAAGCGTCCGGGCGTCTCTTTCGGCGGTCGAATCCGCATTCCGGTCGGCAAAGGCGTCGAGTGGGGACCGTCGTGCACCGGATGCAAGAAAGAGTGCCTGGGCGAAAGCTACTTCTATCGGGCTAGCGCCCTGGACATTCCCGAGGGTCTCTGTCCCGAATGCGCCGATCCCGAGTTCAAAGAGCGCGCGGTGAAGCAGTTCCTGGAGGTCGGAAAGGCGTACCCCCCTCACGCGGATAAGTTCATCGTCGGAGGTGAGGCCAAGGAGCTCCTGCGCAAGATTTTGCATGATGTCTGCGGTGGTGACGAATTCATGCGCATGGAAGATACCGCGTCTCTCGTGGATTTCTATCGCGATCACCCCGAAATGCAGTATTACGGCATCGACCGCGACATGTTGCGGGGCGTCTTTCTCGACCCAAGCTTTGCTTCCGATGACCAAGGCCTCACGGAAGCGCTGCGGGAGAAAATGGCGTCATGGTCGATTTTCACGGCTCCCCGTGGCCGAGCGAGCGAGATGTACAACGTTTCCAATCGCCACAATCGCGATGAGTGCCCGCCTGAGATGCCGACGACTGAGTTCTTCCCCGGCATTCAATTCAACGGAGATCCTGTGGGCTGGGGCGATATCTTCCTCGCTCTGGAGCACGACCTCGACACGTCTTCCGATTTCGGCGATCTTTTCCAATACCCCGTCAAGTCCATCGTCGTCCTCGCGCGGCGCGCCGGGCGCCCGACTTGGCCCTACAAGCCGGGTGACCCGGGCTACTACGAGAACGACGGCGACTACGAGGCTCGCTTCTTAAGCCTCCTTCGCCACCACGAGGCTCATGGTCTCGGACTGCTCGAGGCGCGCGAGGAGCGCGTCGCCGAGCGCGCCGACGGGCGTCGTGAAGCCCGCCTTGAGGCCGCCCGCCGCCGCGGCCTCGACCGTGGCCAGCGCGACCTCGCCGCAGAGCGCGGCCGTCGCGACGATGCCCGCGTCGCCCCGCACGCGCAGCGTCGCCGTCGCCGACGCGCCCGCGGCGCCGTGGCCCGTCGTCGCGACGACGACCGTCGGCGCGCGCGACCCGCCGTAGGACCGGGCCTCGAGGAGCCGCCGCGCGGCGCGCTCCACCGGCGGCGCCCGCACGAGGACCGCCAGCACGAGGAACGCGGGCGTGGCGACGAACAAAAACGCGACGAAGGCGTAATACAACAGCGCGCCCTTGCCCGTGAGGAGCGACCGCGCGCCGGGGAGGACCATGCGGTCCTTGAAGCGGAACGCGTCCAGCACGTAGCCGTTGTCGTGGCCCGAGCGGTGCACGACGGGGATCTGGATCGCGCCCATGAAGTTGGGCACCGTGAAGCAGTCGAGCGTCGAGGAAAACGACGGCAGGCCCCAGTAGACCAGATCGCGGAGCGCCGCGGCGCGGCAGCCCTCGCCCAGGCCCATGTACGCGTGCCAGCCGCGCGCGGCGCGGAGCGGGTCGCCGAGCAATCCCAAAACCGTCAAAATCGTGCCCCGGGGCCCGCCGGCCTCGAGGCCGTAGTCGACGACGGACTCCGCCGCCGCGAGGGGCTCGCCGATGGCGCGCGAGACCGCGAAGACCGTCGCCTCGTCGGGGACGCAGTCGTAGCCGCCGAACGACGCGAGGCAGGACGCCGTCGCCGCGCCGGCGAACTTCGTCGCCATCTCCGCGACCCAGTGGACCTCGCCCGTGACGTCCAGGTAGTGCGTCCCGTGGTCGACGCACGCTCGCACCACGGCCTCGCCGAGGAGCGCGTACGGGCCCGCGGCGGACACGACGAGGTCGCAGCTCTTCGCCATCGCGTCCATGGACGCCGCGTCGCCGACGTCCGCGACGACGAGCGGCACGCGCGCGAGGGCCGCGTCCGAGGCCCGCAGCGCCTCGAGCTTCTTCACGTTCCGCCCCGCGAGCGCCCAGGTCGTCCCGCCCGCGTGCTTGCCGAAGAAGGCCGCGACGGCGCGCCCGGCGTCGCCCGTGCAGCCGAAGAGCACGAGGTCGTAGGGAAGCTTGGCCATCGTGTGCTGCCCTGGCTGCGAGATTTGCTGCGAGAGCGATTGAGGTCGGTGTTGATGATCACTTGCCGCAGCTCCCACACAGACAGCATGCGCAGCATCGCGTGAGTCCTCCGCGCTTACAGCAGGTCCAGCATGAGACGGTCCAGCCTCCTCCTCGCAACGCTCGCAGCCCACGCGCTGCACCTCCACGCGCTCGAGGCGCGGTCCTTCGTGCGGCGCCAGGGCCACTGCACGAAGCGCCAGCGACGGGCGCTGCGCGAGCTCTGGCCGGCCTACGGCGTCGACGTGCCCTGGAATCGCACCATCGACGACGTCCACGCGCTCTACGGCGCGCCCCGCGCGCGCGCGGTGCTGGACATCGGCTTCGGCCACGGCGACTCGCTCGCGGGCATGGCGGCCGCGCGACCGAACGACGCGTTCTTCGGCGTCGAGGTGCACCGGCCCGGCGTGGGCTCGGCGCTGTTGCGCTGCGAAGAACGGGAACTTTCCAACGTGCGCGTGGCGCGCATCGACGCGTTCACGCTCCTGCGCGACCATTTGGCGCCGCGCGGCGGCCACTTCGACGAGTGCTGCGTCTTCTTCCCGGACCCCTGGTTCAAGGAGAAGGACGAGCATCGGCGCTTGATCCGCCCGGCGATGCTCGACCTCCTCGCGGTGCACCTCAAGCCGGGCGGGCACCTCCACGTCGCGACGGACGTCGACGGCTACGCGCGCCACGTCGAGGCGACGCTCGCCGCGGACGACCGCTTCGTCGAGGCCCGCCGCGCGACGGACGCGCGGCCCGACTGGCGGCCGGAGACGCAGTACGAGCGCCGCGGCGCGGCGCGCGGCCACGCAATCACGGACCTGACCTTCGCGCTCCGATAACACGGCCTGTCGCGCTCCGATAATGACGCGCGCGGCCCCTACGCGTCGCCGTCCTCGAGCTCGATGGCGAGCTTGTCCCGCTCGTAGCCGAACTCGAGTTCCAGAGCGCGGCGCTTCGCCTCGTAGAGCCGCTCGACCTCCGCGAGGCGCGCGGACTTCGTCGACGTCGCGGCCGCGGGCGGCGCGGCGACGGCCGTCGCGGCCGCCGGGGCCTCGGCGGCGACGGCCGAGGCCTGGGACGCCGCCGCCGGCGCCGCCGCGGCCTCGTCGGCGAGGATCTTCGCGTTCCAGTCGTCGACGTCGAGCATCGGGCTCGCGGGCGGCTCGGACAGCGGGTCGTAGGTCTCGTCCGCGCCCGAGTTGAAGTTCGAGTAGTCGTTCTGGTAGCGGCTGCTGCGGAAGTTGAAGGCCTCCTGGAGCTCCTGGGCCGCCGCCTGGATCTCCTTGACCTCCTTGAAGTCGAGCTCGTCGTTGAACGTGCTCTGCCACTCGGCCGCCGAGTCCGTCACGTAGGTCCGCACCTGGGCGACGACCTTGCCGATCTCCTTGGACAGCTTGAAGAGCTCCTCGGGCCCCAGGAGGAAGTAGCCCACGGCGGCGACGACGAGCACCTCGGGCGTGCCGACGCCGAGGACGCCGCCCTGGTAGAACGCCAGCGGGCCCGTGCGCCGCGGCGGCCGCGCGGGCGCCGCGACGCCTGGTCGTCGCCGCGACGCGGGGCGCGCGGCGGCGCGCCGGGCGGGGGCGTGGAAGCCGTCGGCGCCGAGGAGCGCGGCAACGCAGAGCAGCAAGCGAAGACAGCTCGTCATCGTGTCGATATGCTTGAGGTTGGGCGGCACTGTCGCGGCACCGCGGAGGCACAGCAAACTTTCCGTACTCGTCGCAGCTCGAGTAGCGCGCCGCAAAACGTCCGAGCTCTCGGAGCCACTAAGGCTGCCACTGTTTACGAGAGCACCGCGCCATGGTGGCCGTGGGCGAATGGTGGTGGGTGCCCGACGAGGAGCAGTGCTTCGTGCCGGTGAGCGCGAACACCCCCAATTTTTCACACAAACACACCCTCTAGGCCCGCGTCACCTCGATCAATGGCGCCGACGCGCGCCTCGACGCCGACGGCGCGCCGGTCTCCTGCCCCACGGCGAAGCTCACGACCAAAATCGACAGCCCGGACCTCCTCGACGCCCAGCTCGACGACCTCGTGCAGATGGACCAGGTGAACCACCCGGCGATCATCGACACGCTGAGGCGCCGCTACCGGTCCGACAAGATCTACACGGGCATCGCCGACATCCTCGTGGCCATGAACCCCTTCAAGTGGCTCCCCGTCTACACGCCGGCCCACGTCACGGAGTACGCCAAGGGCGACCAGGAGGCGCCGCCGCACCCCTTCAAGACGACGATGAACGCGTACAACGGCCTCCGCGAGTCGCGGTGCGCGCAGGCCATCCTCATCTCCGGCGAGTCCGGCGCGGGCAAGACGGAGACGACGAAGCAGTGCCTCAAGATGCTCAGCGAGTGCGCTGGCGGCGGGCGGAAG